CGTATGGCGCTCAATTATTGCGGTTGTTGTGCCGCGCCTCCACTTCCATACAAATGTAAAATTTACAAAATCACAAGATTAATGAATTACTTTTTAAACAGAATTAGAAAGTGTCTTTGAGAATAAATATATATGTATGTATGTTATGCCAGGTTATCGGATTAAGATGTGCGCGCTAGGTCATAAACATTTTCTCATTTAAATTATGACCGACAAAAACATTTTCTACTCTAGGAGAATTTACATTTTATGAAAAAATTAGAAAATTATACTCCGAATTTCGCCGCACAAATACTATGGAGAGACCAATGAAAAGGCAAAATTTTTTTTTGTAGAAAAGAAGACACCATTAAACCCAGAAAAATAATTTCCCCTTCCTCTTGCTTACTTTTTCGAAAAGAGTTGCCACCTCTTAGGAAATTTAGCTCAAATTATAAAAGTTAAATCAACTGTAACAATGTGTTGGTATCAACCGAAATGGTTTTGAAAAGGCTTTATTTTTAACCACGTGCAGGCGAGTTGCCACATGTATAGAAAATTTTATTCAATTTTAGTTAAAGGAATTTCGTTGGTTAATAAGGTATCACTATATGGGTGTCTGACAACAGTTGTTTAAGAAGGTAGTCGTTTGAAAATATTTTTAAGAGGGTTGCCACCTATTTGAGAAGTCTGAAGTTTGAGTTTTAAGAAATATTTATTTTTGACAATTTAGAAATTTTTTTATAGGTTTGAGGGTTGCTCCAGTTTAAAATATTACATTAAAATTATTTTATAATTTAAATGAATTCCTAAATGGTGGCTTTCAATGGAAATGGGTTTAAAATCCTTTATTTCAGAACTATATTTGTTAGGGTTGCCACGTGTTTAAAAAGTAAATTTCAACTTAATTCATCGGTTACTTTAAGTATTTATAACAGCGTCAGACGAAAAATATTTAAGGAAATTTTAGTTCAAAAATAATTTTTAAGAGGATTTTAGCCTGTTTTTGAATGTCGTATTTAGTTTAATTATACATAAGTTACATGAAATTTTAAAATATGCGTATCAAACGAACGAGTGTTAGAAATGTTTAAATTGAACATTTAGAATTTTCTTAGGGTGTCAGAAGAGGGCTGCTACCACCTATTGAAAAAATTCAATTCAAACTAATAAGATAAATGAATTTTCAAAAGATCTGTATCAGTCTAGATGGGTTTGAAAATAATTTATTTCTGAACTGTATTTAGGAGAGTTGCCATGTGCTTAAAAATTTAATTCAGCTTAGTTCATCAGTTAATTGAAATATGTATAACAATGCCAGACGACAAAAAGATTTTAGTTTGAAAATACTTTTAAATTAGTTGCCACAACCTGCATAAATGAAATAGCGAAATATTAGTGTCAATCGAAAGAGTTTTAATACAATTTTAGGCTGATATTTTTAATTAGGGTTGCCATCTCTTTTTTCGAAGGTCATCACATCTGCGTCCTATATTATTTTTAATTATTTAATTTTTATTTCTATTTATATATATTCTATATATTTCCATGGCCTACAACGATACGTAAAACAGTTTCATCCAGGTAGGATTAAAACGAAAATTTTTGATTACAAGTAACCTTATAAATCTTCCCCATTCTTTAATTTAGGCTTAGCAGAAGGTTTGTGTTACTCTTTTTAGAATTTTTTGTCACAAATCAAAAAAGTAAAGGAAACACTTTCACTCCTTCCCCCATGCAATATTGATAACGTTGTTTAAATAAGTAATAAACTCATAAAACAAACGAATAAAATCTAAGAAAAAGCAATTTTCAGAATTTGAAAAAAAACGTGTTCTACCTACAATACTCCCACCTTTTCCTCCCAAAAGTCTTGCACTACCCAGCGCACTAGCTCCTGCAAAGAAATAAAAAAAACTAAACGAAAGCGACCCTGGCTACCCTTCCATTCACTTTCATACTATTAACCTTTTTTACTCCCGACCTTATAACCAGCCATGATGCCATTTCATTTCGTGATTGTTTGTGGCATTGAATGAGCGGTTGAATGAACGAGGAAACTTTAAGCCGACCACTAGCCACTCAGTTGTACGCAAGTAGATTACTAAAAATACCACAACCATTTGTTGTTGTTGCTGCTGTTGAACAGCCTTCCGCATTCACGACTCCTTCACGGCCACATTGGGCTTACAGTGCGTATACGTAACCTTCGTTATTATTTTCATTCAGACAATGAGTGAGTATCTTATTTTCCCTAGCCGCAATTTCCTACCTACCATACAAGTACCTACAAACAACCATAAAAGGCAGTTAGAAGGCAATGTAAGTAAAGAAGGATAGCGAAAAAAAAACAAACATTAAGATGAAAATGTAGGCGACCACCAAGAAATAGAAAAGAAATTAAAATTAAGCTATTGGAGTTGGAGGCGACCGAAAGGTTGGTGGGTGGCAAAAAAAATCGCATGTTTGCACGTCGCAAAAATGCTTACCAGCATTCGCCAGCCGTTCGCCAAAAGGAGAAAAGAATTTCACTAGCATAAATACGTGACAGCGGCGGCAGGCAAACACCAGCGCAAATTTTGAAGAGCAAATCTTTTATATTAGATTGGCTGCTTGTAAGATGCTTTTCTAGTTCTCAGTTGCTTTGCGCTTGATGGCTGCCTACTTGCTTGCTGGCTTGCTTACTTGAGCGCTCCTTTTTTCTTGCTTTACCTTTTTTATTTATTTATTTTTTTCATTCTACCTTTTTTCGCCTAACTTTCTTTGTATTCCCCACAACTCGTCGTTTCCCTGTTCCATTTTGTTTTTGTTGTACTTTAGAAAGCAACCAAAAAACTTGTGACAAAATTGCAAGCACGTTGCTGCAACAAACTTAATCCTCTCTCTTGCCATAGCTTGTGTATTTAGTAATTTTATTTGTTGTTATATTTTCTGTTATTCTTGGCATTGTCGTTGAGTTTACAGCACATAAATTTTTGTCTTGTTTTCCCTCTTCGCGCAAAACTCGCTTCAGCTTCTTAGAAAGTTCTCAAAACGTGCTTCGAACTTCGACAACATGATTAGGCGGCTGGTTCAGTTGGGTTAAGTTTTCTTCGGAGCGAGTGCAAACACTCCGACTTTGACATGCTCACGCATGCACACACTCAGCTGTACAAGGGCTGGTGAACTTGCATTTCTCTAAGCCTTTTGGCTAAAAATTCAATAAAGCAATATTAGTTGGACTGTGGAATGTATTTACTTTGATGAGTGGAAAGTTATATGGGGAACAGTTATTTGTACGCGCAAAGTTGGTTGTAAAAATCAATATTAGTTAAATTTATGTCAGCTCAATGAAACGCAAATAGGAGGGCAGTGTTCATCGACTTTCTCGGTTCAATAATGGATATTTAACAGGTTGGATATGTTGGGAATTATTTCAATATTTGTTGCCAGTTTTACAGTCTAACGGAATCTTACGTACGTAGATTTGTAGGAGTAAATACCAGAGGCAGTAAATAAAGGTAATTTTAAATTTTTGAAATCAAAAAGGCGTTATGAAAAATAAACTGTTCCACCCCTTTTTTTAAAGATACCATAAGAAACGCCTCTCATTGTAGATTATAATTTGGGCCTATTTCGGGGCTCTTCGGTATTCTCGGAACTATTTGCAGATTTTCGTGACGGGGAATCCCTAAATCGTCACCGAAAATGCGCGAAAGTCCAGAGAATCCCTAAATAGCCCCGAAAATCTTAAGTACCTAATCCCGAGTATCCCGAGAAAGTCCCTAGAATCCCAAATTAGTCCCGAAAATCAAGAAATAGTACCGATGAGAGCGCAATAATTCCGAAAATACCGAGATAGTCCCCAAAAACCAGAAATAGTGCAGAAGATTCTTAAATAGACAGGAGAATCCCAAAATAGTCCCGAGAAACCGGAATAGTAAAAAAATCCGAAAACTGTCTCAAGAATCCCCAAAATCTCGAAGCATTAGAGAGAACCCCGATAGTTCCGCCAATACCGAGGCTCTCCCGGAAACCTCGTAATAGTCCCGAAAATTCCGAAAATCTCAAAATAGTTTCGAAAATAGCAACGTAGTCACGAAAATTCCGAAGTAGTCTCGAAAATCTTTAAGCGGTGCTGAAATATCCCGTATGATCCAAAGTACTACTTACATTAAAAAATTTGGAAAAGTATCACACGAATAATCACAAAAAGTTTTTTGTTCAAAATGGGACTAGTATTGGGGTATTTAGTATCCTTATAGGTATATAAATACATATACAGTTTTTTTTGCAACTTGAATACAATCAATAAACCGCAATTTCGAAATTACTATTTGGCTGTCGTGATTTTAATTATTAATCAAACAAAGCAAATGTGAAATGACATGAAAGGTGGGGAAAAGTTTACCGAGAAAACTGTCAGCCATTTCAAAGCAAACCTCAAAGTAACTTTTGACAGCGCGTATGAATTATTTATTAACGGCGGAGAAGCAGCAACGTAAAA